TCTAATGCTCCTAAGGGCAAGAAGAGGAAGAGTCCGCAAGAAAGGGCAAGGCGATCATGAGTGACGCGCAACCTCGACAAAAAGCAAAGAGGCCGAAAGGCAAGTGCCACAATTGTCAGCAGAAAGGACACTGGAAGGCAAACTGCCCTCTCCCCAGGAAATCCGACAAAGGTACACCTTTTGCTTTAGTCGTTGAAATATGTGTAGTGGTGTTATCTACCAGTACCTGGCGTGTAGATACAGGGGCCACTGATCAGGTCTGCAATTGCAGGGGTTCCAGTAAACCAAGCGACTTAGGGAAGGAGAAGTTACCATCTACTTGGGCGATGCTAGTAGAGCGTCAGCAGTTGCAGTGGGAGACGTCTATTTAGATTTTGGCTTAGATAGGTTTCTAGGTTTGAAAGATTGTCGTTATGTTCCTAGCTTTAGAAAGAATTTTATTTCAGTTTCTAAGTTGTTTATGAACGGTTTTTCCGCTACTTTTGATAATAAAGTTGTTATTCGTTTTGGCAAAAGTTCATATGTTCAGGTTCAGTAGTTGACAATCTATACATTCAAGAATCTAAGTCATCTCCACTGCAACAAAAACAATTACTTAATTCATCATCTAATCTAAATAAGAGAAAGGAACCTTCTAAAATGAACGAAACATATCTTTGGCATCTAAGACTTGGTCATATTAACCTTAGGAGGATTCAAAGGTTGGTAGCAGACGGGCCCTTGGGGTCGTTAGAAGTGGAGGCTTTTCCAACTTGTTAGTCTTGCCTGGAAGGCAAAATGACTAAGAGGGTTTTTAGTTCAAAGGGGCATAGAGCCGAAGATGTGTTAGGGCTAGTTCATTCCGATCTATGTGGGCCTATAAGTGTTCAAGCGAGAGGTGGTTTCGAGTACTTCGTTACGCTTATCGATGATTACTCGAGATATGGGTACATTTTTCTTCTGCACCGCAAGTCTGAATGCTTTGAGAAATTCTTAGAGTATCAGACAGTTGTGGAAAAACAGTTAGGAAAAGTATCAAGTCATTACGATCAAATCGTGGTGTCGAATATCTCTCGAATGAACTTAGGAGCTACTTGACGGATAATGAGATTACGTCCCAGCTGACTGCGCCTGGCACGCCTCAACAGAATAGCGTATCAGAATGGAGGAATAGGACTCTTATGGAAATGGTTAGGGCAATGATGAGTTATAGTACTTTACTAGATTCATTTTGGGGATATGCCCTAGAAACAGCGGTATACATTCTGAATAGAGTACCTTCTAAATCAGTACCGTCTACACCATTGGAGTTGTGGTCTGGGCATAAGCCTAGTCTAAGGCATCTCAGAATTTGGGGTAGTCCAGCACATGTGCTGAGAACCGATACTGATAAGTTGGAACCGAGAACAGAAGTAAGGCTGTTTGTGGGATATCCTAAGGAAACTAAAGGTGGTCTATTTTATAGTCCCGAGGACCAGAAAGTAATCGTTAGCACGAATGCTAGGTTCTTGGAAGAAGACTATGTCTTAGATCATAAGCCCAGTAGTAGACATGTCCTCGAGGAGTAAGGGAGTGAGTACTTCAATACCGAGTGCGCTAGATGTTACACCACAAAGTACTGCAATACGTATCGCTGATGATGCACCTGAGCAGGTGGTACCTCGTCGTAGTGGGAGGGTTTTCCGGCAGCCCAAACGGTTCATGGGTCTGGGAGAGTCTTCTGAAGCCGTCCCGGACGTTCTTGAATCCGACCCGTGGACATACAATGAGGCACTCCAAGATCGGGACGCAGAGTCTTGGCAAAAGGCGATGAAATCAGAAATAGAGTCAATGGACTCTAATCAGGTCTGGGATCTTGTAGAGCCACCCAGTGGCGTTTGCGCCATTGAATGCAAGTGGGTCTATAAGAGAAAGAGAGGAGCAAATGGGAAGGTAGAGACCTTCAAAGCTAGGCTTGTTGCGAAAGGGTACACTCAGAAAGAAGGGATCGATTATGAGAAAACCTTTTCGCCGGTAGCCATGCTCAAATCCATCAGGATTCGCTTAGATGTGGCCGCTCATATGGATTATGAGATTTGGCAAATGGATGTTAAGACCGCTTTCCTTAACGAGAATTTGAACGAGGACATCTATATGCAGCAACCACAAGGATTCAATGCAAAGGGCCAAGAGAATTTGGTCTGCAAGCTGAAGAGGTCCATTTATGGGCTAAATCAGGCTTCGAGGTCTTGGAACATCCGTTTTGACGAGGTTGTCCAATCGTATGGATTTACCCAATATCCGGATGAGCACTGTGTGTACAAAAAAGTGATTGAAACGTGGTGGTGTTTCTAGTGTTGTACGTGGATGATATTCTTCTCATTGGAAACAGTGTGAAGATGTTATCAAATGTAAAAGTATGGTTATCTAAGCAGTTTGATATGAAGGATTTGGGAGAAGTAGGACATGTTCTCGGAATCAAGGTCATTCGCGAACGACAGAAGAGAAAGTTTTGCCTATCCCAATCCACATACATAAACACTGTCCTAAAGCGTTTCAACATGCAGGATTCCAAGAAAGGGGATTTACCCTTTCGACACGGAATACCTCTATCGAAGAGGATGTCCCCGAAGACGCCTCAAGAGGTAGAGGACATGAAGGAAGTTCCTTATGCATCGACAGTAGGAAGCCTCATGTATGCTATGTTGTGCACGCGACCTAATATTTGTTATGCTGTGGGCATGGTAGCAAGATATCAGAGTAATCCAGGACCGGAACATTGGTCTGCGGTAAAGCATATACTCAAGTACCTACGTAGGACTAAGGAGTACCTGTTGATTTACTAGGCAGATTAATTGCTTCCATTGGGTTACACCGATTCTGACTTCCAGGCAGACCGGGACGAAAGCAAGTCAACCTCAGGGTTTGTGTTTACTTTAGGAGGAGGAGCCATAGTATGGAGGAGTGTCAAGCAGAAATGCGTGGCAGACTCAACCATGGAGGCTGAGTATGTAGCAGCCTTAGAGGCAGCGAAAGAAGCTGTATGGCTTAGGAATTTTCTCTTCGACCTTGATGTGGTACCGACTTTGCCCGCTGCGATTACAGTGTTCTGTGATAACAGCAGAGCAGTAGCAAATTTGAAGGAGTCACGGACTCATAAAGCGAGTAAACACATAGAGCGCAAGTACCACCTGATACGAGAAATCGTTGGACGAGGAGAAGTCGTTGTTGCCAAGATAAAGTCATAGGACAACCTAGCAGATCCTTTACAAAGAGCCTACCGGTGAAAGTCTTTACAAGACACGTAGAAGGAATGTGAGTCAGATGTTAGGGCAACATAGTAGACTAGTCTTTGAGAATTAGATTGAAGGAAATTGTGGTTAGTTTGTATAGCCACGAGCTTATAAAGCATAAGTGGGAGATTGTTAGAGGTATGCTGTAAAAGCTATGTTTTGCAGATTCTATTAATTCCATTTTGATTTGGCCATCATGTTTCGGTCAAAGTACATATGTTTTCAGTTTATCTATGCAATACATACTCCATGTCTTATATTGAGGTAGTGTGGTTCGAAGTGTTTCTAACAGAAAGATCACCTATCGGTTCCTTATAAGACTAAATCATTCGTTCACAGTCTAGACTGGCTGTGAGACCCCACTTGGAAAAAGACTGTAGTGTATTCTTGATTCAGTTGGTCTTTGACTGGAGAATTACACTAGCACTTATGTTAAGTGTTGAACAGGACCACGAAAAGCAAAGGTTATGAGACTCACTGACCGTAGTTGTAACCTCGTCCTTTAGTGATTGATGCGTTCTCTTAAGCTGTAAGATAATATAAAATAGGCATATATTTTTATTTCTTATTTATTTGATTTACCAAGTGATTCATACTTTATTAGGATGACATACGAGGTATTTTGGTAAGTAAGAATAATTATATGATGTGCTATTATAAATTATTTAGGTTCACTATGTTCAGTGCGCTGGATTGGCGACGTCCCCGAAATAAGCTCAGGAATGTATGTTATGTTAAACCCTGCAGGTAGACGATTGTCTGACATAATGGTTAAGGATCTGAGTGGTACTAATTTTGGAAATGAATAAGAAGTTGATTAATTATTTTGTCAGTAATTTAATTAATCAACGGACATTATATCTTAAACATAGGGAGGTAAATCGATCAATCGGATTAATATTATTTAATCATGGAGGCTCAATTTTATTGGTAAAATAGTGGCTAAATGGGGGGAGCAATAATATTACTCTAGTGGGATGTTTTATTATTTAATTCCATTAAATAGGAATTAATTTTATTCCATATTAATTAATTTAATTAGGAGAATAAAATTCCTACTAGAATCTTCTCTTGGGATTAGGAGACTAAAGAGTCTTCTAGAAAATGGAGATTAGTAGGAAATATATTTCCTATATTATATTATTATTTGGAGTAAAATTAGGTTTCCTAAATTAGGAATTAATTCTATTCCATGATTATTAATTTAATTAGGAAAGGTATTCCTACTAGGATCTTCTCTAGTGTTAGGAGACTAAGGAGTCTTCTAGAAGAGATGGATTAGTAGGAGATCTCCAGCCTACATAGAGTTAGTATTGGATTAGAATTAGGATTCCTAGGCCTAATGGGATAAGCCCATATTGAGCACCTCCTTAAGGTCCCTAATGGAGTCTATAAATACACCATGTCCCAATCTCTCCTATATAGATGTGTTGGCCGATTTTCTCCTCTACATACGCGCGAGAAATATCTTTGTTCAAGAGTTAGGGAGATTCGATTAAACGCTCCACCAAGTTTGATCGAAGTATAGGTAATCCATTAGAAGGCTTTTTGGTACAATATATTGAGCTTCTAATATATATATAATTCCGGTCATCATCATCATCTCATTGCCGCCGATCGCCGCCGTGAGAAGCTGCCGGAAAACACCGCTGCCGCCCATCGCTGCCGGAAGCCACCCGAGCCCAGCCAATCGCTACCGCGAGCCAATGCCCGCAGTCGCGCCCAACCGATCCCAGTCCCAGCTCTTAGCGACGACGCCCAGCGACGCCCGGTCACCACCGCAAGTCCCTAGCACCGTCTGCTTGCTCGCCGCTGCCAGTCGTCCCGATCGCGAGGTACCAGTGCCCAGTGACGACGTCCGCAAGCTCCCAGTCCGCACCTGCTGTCGATCACCCATCGCCCGAGGTCCCAGCGTCCGCCTACCACGCGCACGCTACTCCTTATGCGCCCAGGCAACCCGCAGCGCCCGTCAGCGTGAACGCACACGCGAGCGCTAGTCCGCGACCGCCTAGGAGTCCCGCTAGCGCACGTCCGCGACACGTCAGTCTGCTCCCAGCGCCCGACGTGCCCCACCAGCAATCCACGCGTCACGTGTAATACCCCGCTTATCAGAGTAAATTTTTCGCAACTTATTTCGAAAATACTTATAAATTTTTCGAAACCTTCTTAACGCGGGATGCTACTAACTTATCTACTTTAAAAATCTGTTTACTTAAACTTTATCTAACAACTAAGTTAGACATAAATAAAACAGATTTTAAACATTGAACAAATATAAAAAAACTTAACAGTTCATACAATCAACTTGATAAATCAACCTTTAAAATCACACTTAAAATCACACTTGTTCAAATCTTAAAGAAACGTAGCGGAAATCTTACAAGCGTGGTTTACAAACTGAAACCTTATTGAAAATTCTCAATAGAAACTTATTCACATCCACGACCACCACAACTCCTCACACATGCGCACCGTCTTTAATTCCTGAAAAAATGATAATAGTGGGGCGTGAGTACTAATCAACTGTACTCCGTAAAAACCCATACTAAAGTAAACAGCAATAATAATATCAATATCATGATCTTTGGTATGTATCTAAGCTTAATCTTTCGGTATCTAACCGATACTTTAACTTAAACTTTGCAACTACCGGTAACTTGGGCCGGTTCTCACGTGATCACATTCTAGGGGTCGCCTCCCACAGAACCCAGTCTTGACTGAGCGAGCTTAATACTTTACTTAACTTTATACATACCTCGAACATGATAATAGCTATTATACTCAATGTAATACCCAGTCTGGGTCCCCACCTTTTCTTGTTGAAAAATTTTGAAAACTGTAAGTGCTGTACTGATAGTTGTATCTGCAACTACATAAAAAATATAAACCAATATACTAAGTACTATGCTCATTATACTTACTAAAATACTCGGATACTCACATCTATCAGATAACTTATCCGAATATAAAAGAATACTCTAGAGATCATACTAAGTCCGGATTTAAATTGGTATACTTAAACTAAACTGAAACTTAATCATTTTCATACTCTTCAAACTTTCACATTAATTAATATTATGAGAAAAACTAAAATCATATGCTATAACTCATTTCACCTCATTTTAATCTTAACTTTAACATATGTATTCTCAACATATATAAAGTTACCTTAAAAAAAATTCACTTTAAAACAATATTCATATCTTGAGATATATCATTTCAAAGTTGAACTATATCAAAACATTCAATTTACTGGCATACTTGTCTTTAAAAATCTATATCTCATGCTACAATTATCTAAAAATTCTAAAGCTTTATATCTTAACTCTCAACTAAATGAAGAATATTCTGGAAATTTTCTCATAAAAATAATAACCATAAAGTGAGATATGAATTTTCAAATAATGTTTGTCTTACTGAAATTTGAGATTTACTCACTTATGTTCATTATTTTCTATAGCATCTTAAACAAGTCCAATAAATATAAAATTTAAACTGGAAGTTTTTAACTAATATATGAATTGACCATAAAATTTCCAACTCAAAATAATATCAATAGATAGGGTAATTCAATACCACAAATCATCATTACTACACAGATTTTTCACTAGATAACACCTTAATAAAAGTTTTTTATAAAATTCATTTTAACTTCGACTAATCTAAAAATTTCCAGTATTATTCTCAACATAATGAGTATCTTATATAAAAATGTTCATAATTTTTGGAACTCAATAGCTTGGTCAAAAACAAATAAACATAGGCTGCAACATCATGAACTTTAAATAATCTTGTTTTATATACTTATATATATAAAAATTATAATTTCTTAACATAACAACATATTAATAACACATATAAACACTTATAATTCTTAACTATACTTGATGATATTAAAGTTGTATAACATACCTCTTCTAATCTTGAGAAAACAAAGCAATGAAACTTGATTCACATTCTCTCAAAATTGCTCGATTCCTCTCGTAACTACTCGTTTCTTACTATTTCTTGCTCTTTGAATATTTATAAAATTTTTAGTGCTTCTAAAATATGATTCTAAGGCCCTCTATTTATAGGCATAAGAGCTCTTCATTTTTGATAAAACTCCTCACCAAATTTTCTTAGAAATTAATATAAAAACTTAACTTGAATTAATATAAAAATATGATTTTGATGGCTCATAAATACTCTCTAAAATAAGACAAATATGCTTATTAATGATGATAATAATGCTCCCATAGCTGATATAAAATTTGGCCCCATTTTTATTTAAAAAACACTTAGAAAGTTTTTTTTTTAGTAAAAATGATGACAAAACATCATTTAATGCTTTATTTATTTATTCATTTCCTAATATTCAGCTCTTAATTTTAAAATAAAAATAATACTTCATAATTATCTTGTAATGTGGTAAAAAAAAAAAGAAAAATAAAATTTACGGAACTAAATTTGGACTTAAAACGAACAATTACCGTAAAACCGAAAATTCTAAAAATTCGGATTTCTCTCTTTTGCTTTTGAATTTTTTTTTTCATAATTACTTTGTGATATTTTCTCTTGTAAAAACCATACTAACTTAATCTTGAAAATCATTTACTTATCATCTATAAACTATTAATAACTTTTACCGATTTACTGAATAACTTCTACTGATTTACTGACTTACTAAAAATATGGGGTATTACAATCTACCCCCCTTAAAACTATTTCCGCCCTCGGAAATACTGGAACTGGGATACATATTATCTGAGTATATATTAAAACTTAAAATTTGGAACTCTAACATCAACTTATGGCATTTTATTCTCCGTGGCAATTCTATTTTATACGAACGAGGGAAATATCTCAATTCCTTAGCCGATTAACATTTTGGTCCAAAACAAATACCGACGGTTCCTCGTAAGTTAAAACTTGTTGAATCTAAATCTCATTGTGCTAAAGCACATGATTTGAATCGCTCACGTATACACGTATCATCGATACGTGAAAAACATTACACATACTAACCAACTCGGGAGGTAATGCTAAATGATAGAATACTTTCTCTACTCGTTCAAGAACTTTGAACGGACTTATACCAAAAGAATGCAACTTACCAAATGACACTTCTCATTAGTCGAACTATCTGAAAGACTTTATCCATGTCTAAGTAAAAATTTCTACCAATTATGAGCAGTCTTGCTACATACTTGACTATTTCCTCGATCAACTTCCATTATGGTAAAGCCAAATACTTTTGGACTTGTCCCTTTTGACTCTAAACATGACTATGTGGCACTTTGCATGTGATGTACCCACTACCCGGGGCCCTTCGGGTGCGGAACATTTACATGCATGTACCTACAATGTCAATATCACCTACATATACGTTAGCATCACCAACTGTACTGAACTTGTCGGGAAACCTTCTGATCAAAAACTACTATCAACACTTATATTCCTCTGACTTTAATATATCCAATATTTCACAATAAAATTGATTGGAAATTACTGCACTGCATAAATTACCCAATTATTGATCATACCACATTTCACCTATCGAGGTGAATTATTCTGTCCTCAATAATGATGATCGACACAACTCAATTTCACAATAATTCATTCTTTAATTATTGACGACATCTCATATCGGAATTCTGCTGCATTAATTGCATATTGGCTGCATGTTCTGACATTAGGAATATAATAATGCCAAACTCTATCTCCAGAAGCTTACCTTTTACGCTTCGATCTTCTATAAAGTGGCTCGCTAATCCTTCAGTCTTCTTCAACAATGGTCCGAAACAACAAATGGATTCGGCACTTTCAAATATTCGCAAATCATATTCCTTTCTTCCTTTAAATATCATAAAAAGGATTTATCAATCTCGAGTGGAAAGATTGAGAGTGCTAATGATCCACAATATTCCAAATGATATCCGATGGTTGATTGAAGCAAACGTCCGACTCTCTGGCGAATTTCCAAATCTGTAATAGCTTCTTTTGTAGTTGTGAAATCTTCAACAGTGTGTGCTTGAATAAAACTTGAATCCTTTCAGATTTTTCTGATATTGACGAATATAAATGGAAACTTTAATCGTCTCTGTAATATCCCGTCAGCTTATCAGTATGAATTATGTTGTAGTTCCGATATAATAATGTTATCGATTATTATTTTCGGAATTAATTATTTTCAGTCGAGATTATCGAAATTATTTTCGACGTACCGTTTACGTTCGAAATAATTTTGGTAATTAAGCATTATGTTTAATTAAATAATTAAACATAAGTTAGTGATTAATTAACATTAATCACATGTTAATGGAGTAAAAAGTTGTACCAATTTTCCATCTTATTTTCCCTAAAAAAAACCGTACGGAAATTTTATAATGTGTTTCCAAATTTCACAAGTATTTTCCTAAGCATGAAGGAAGTTCATCCCTTCTCAATGACACGTGGCATTATAAGATGGCTTAAAGAAGGATTAGTCATCTTAAGCTAGTTTATTTTGGGGCAAGTGTCACTTTGAGAATTGGCCACATTTTCACCTCATCATCATATTTTTCCACGGCTTTAGTATATAGGAGAGTATTTGGAACGAAAATTTTCCCAACTTTCAGCTTCATATTTGTACCATACAAGGCTTTAAGTTCAGCCATAGATAGATCAACAATTTGCCTTAATTCTTCTATACACCACGCACGGCAAGAGGAAGAAGCATTTGGACGATTTTTCTCCCAACTTTTCCTTAAGTATAAGTAAGCCATATTCAGCATATCTTCTTCCCAAATATTCAATTCGATCAGCAAGCATTAAGAAAGCAAAGTGTTAGTTCTCGCACGTAAGGGAAGCATCGTACGGCAAGGAGTAGTTGGTATCGCACACGGACACGCGCAATCGAGGTCACGACCAGTTTTGTGAATTCCGTCGAACACTTGAGGAGGTAAAGCCATCCTCAACTCATTTTCATGTCAATAAGTTCGTTTTAGGTTGTAGTGTTCGATTTATGTTCAAGAGTTCATAGCTATGCCATGTTAAGGTTCGGTTATGCCTAGTTAAGTTGTGATCGAGTAACTACGTATTTTACCCGGCAACTCATGAACCATCAATGTTTAATTGATCAGTTTACATCATTTTATACTCAGTTACTTGATGATGGTCGAGGTAAAATATCGTTTTAGCCCTGAATCGGCTCAAAGCCGTCGGCAGCGCTCGTCGCGCACGCCGCGGGCACTCCCATGTCATGTTATGAAATCTTCTGTTATGGTCAAGATTGTCCGTGCGATTTATGTCTCAATAGCTTTCAAATGATGTTTCATGTTTAATTGGTCTAGAGTTGCCGAGGGAAACGTTGATTCGGTCGAGAGACGGCCTATCGCCGTCGGCGGCGCACGGTGTGCTCGCCACGGCCCTATGCAATTTATTGTGCAAAAGTTATGTTTTCAAGTTATTTCAATGATCATGTTCATGTTGAATCAGATTATGTTTATTGAGGTCAGAGTGCACGGGAGTTATTGCCGGACGGTCGACAAGGGTCGGCCGT